CTGGGGAGCTACTGCAGAACTCTTCTCTGCAGTGTGTGGGAGTAGAGGGCTTCATCCTGCCCCATTGAAATCAGGGGGGGCTTTGTCAGGGGCCTTTCTCCCTCTTACACAGTACTTAATGGGCAGCTTCAAATGTGTGGGAGGCTCTGCATGAGATCTCCATACAGAGGTAGACTTCATCCTATGCTAACATTATGTATTAACACCACACTGTGTGCAAAGCATGTTTTCATTTTACATTCTTTCTATTGCATAGAGATTAAAGCTATAAGAGTGCATTAAAAAAAACTAGAACATTTTCTCTCATTTGTATACCTTTTATCGCTGGAGCTTACTTTTGTATTTGCCTCATTCAAGCATACAGTTGTGGGTGTGTGTATATATTTTCTCCCCTTAAAGTCTGTAGTAAATTCATTTTTATATTAAAAAGTTTAAATTGTTCTTAAAAATAATTTCTTCAAGCTTGTAAGCTTTGATCTAATCTGTGGCACAGTTTTAGTTAAAATGGTTGTGGTTCTAAAAGATTACAAGTATTAGGAAGAAGAAATAAGAAGATGTGAAGTTGGGGATATTATCTTCAGCTTTCAGCTTGCTTTACAAAGGTTTAAAATGCCCTTTCTTCCATAACCCAATCTAGCAAACTTCTGACCCACTCCTTTTCATGTACAGTCATCAATCTAATAAATAATAAATAATAATAATTAATTCTTAGATAGGATCAATAATACCACTGGTTATACTTCAGAATTCTAATGGAACCTTAATATTAATAAGCAAATACCTTAGGCAATAGTGTTACTATTTAAGCAAACAGAGAGGAACATAGCTTGTACTCTTGATGATAAAGACCTGAGCTTCTTGCGTTTAACTATTATTACAGTAGATTTAAAGACCAAAGATCTGTTTGAAACAATGCACCCAGAGGTAGATTATCCATCAGCACAGAACCAGTTCTGTTCTTAATCATGTTGTCTCAAAAGCATATTACATTATAATCCCAAACCACAAATCTCCTAGGGCTCCATTTATAAAAGCAGAAAGCACCATTTACAGTACATGGGTTTTCCTGTTGACTAAGAATGTAATGTTTCTGAGTAAGAATTAGAGCTGCGGTGAGCTGTTCATTAGAGATTTGAACTCTGGTGTACAAATCCCTTTAGGCTTGCTTGGAAAAGCCTGTGAATTCCCTGCCATCAGTTAGTTAGGCTCAGGATTAAAGGCAAGTTTGAAAGCTGCCGGTATATATAGTTCTATATCTGAAGATTCTGTTGCTCTATCTGTTTATCTCAGAACAAAAGTAGCATTTCCTTTTCAAAGTACTTAATTGTTTTGTGTTTTTTCTCAGAGATTTCTCTACTGATTTTAAATTAATTAATCTTTCTCTGGAATAGCAATCTTGGAAAGCCTTATGGTAAGAAACAGGGCTTACTAATTAAAAAGGTATTTCCAAGTACTCATTGCCTTGGAAAGAGCATATATTTGTTACATTCCCTGCACCTAGCACACTATTTGGGAAGGAGGAACAACAAGAATGGAAATAATGCCATCAGTATCCATTCCACAGAACTTAGTACTGACTTCGTCTCCTAAATCAAGCATTTCATAAGATATTTTCTATTTTCTCCTTGGAGAGTTACGTGGGTTGAGGTTTTCGAAGTAGAGCAGGCAAATTAGCTAATCCCCTGAAGTACTTTGAAAACATTCCTGTGTATTTCACTTAATTTCCGTTACTACCCAATCAAAACTATCAAAAAGTCACACAGCAGCAACAGAGTCCACTGTGAATGGAGTACATTCCCTCATGGATTTAGTAGTGTGCACACATGGTTATTAACAGATAATAAGCAATGTGTAAGAATATTGTTAAAATAAAGTGTCAGAAAGCACTTTCATTGCACAGGCAACCACAACAAAACAATTGTTGATCTGATTTCCTGACCTGCTACAGCCATGTTGTGCTGCTCCACGGATGGAAAGGGCTTGGAAACTAGTCAGAGTGGTCTCTTCCTGGAGAGGGGAAATTACTTTGTGGTGTAGAACTGACATAGTGGGTCTAACTCAGATGTGGGCAAACTACGGCCCGCGGGCCACATCTGGCCCGTGGGCCCGTCCGGCCTGGCCCCTGAGCTCCCGGCCGGGGATCCTAGTCCCCAGCCTCTCCCCCGCTGTGGGGAGCGCAGCTGGCTCTGGCCAGGTGTCATAGCTGCAAGCTCCTGCAGCTGGTAAGGGGGCGGGGAGCGGGGGGTCCTGAGGGGCAGTCAGGAAGGAGAGGGCGGTTGGATGGGGCGGAGGTTCTGGGCGGGAGGTTAGGGGATGGGGAACAGGGAGGGTTGGGAGTGAGAGTCCCGGGGCGCCTGTCGGGGGGGTGCCTTTAAGGGGGCGGGGATGTGGATAGGGGTCGGAAGAGCAGTCAGGGGACAGGGAGCGGGGGGGTTGGATAAGGGGGTGGGATCCCGGGGGGCAGTTAGGGGCGGGAGGTCCTGGGAGGGGGTGGTCAGGGAACGAGGAGCAGAGGGCAGTTGGATAGGGGGTGGGAGTTCCTGGGGGGCTGTCAGGGGACAGGGAGCGGGGGGGGGGGTTGGATGGGTTGGGGATTCTGAGGGGGGCAGTCAGGGGGTGGGAAGTGGGAGGAGGCAGATAGGGGGTGGGGGCCAGGCTGTTTGGGGAGGCACAGCCTTCCCTACCCGGCCCTCCATACAGTTGCACAACCCCGATCTTGCCCTCAGGCCAAAAAGTTTGCCCACCCCTGGTCTAACCCATTCCAATCTGTGCCCCATGATCTTCTTGGTGTAGGGGGCATGGCAATCAGGTTATCATTGTATATCACGTATTCTACCTACTCCTGGATGATTGGTCTGCTTCTGGGGTCACAGGTGACTAGACGTACATGAGAGTAGTTCTGATGTTACTCTAACTTACGACAAGGGCTGAGCGGGCTCCATAACTGGGGAGCCACAAAAATGGGGTTAAGCTATCTTTGCATCTTTTCTCTTAGGCTCTGCACCAAGCACAGCTCAGTTGGACCTGAGAATTGACACTCGTATGTATATACCATGACGATTTTTATATTTGGATCCCATAGTTTTATCGACTGGAGTTCTGGATACTAACAGTGAATTAATCTAAGGCATAACACTGACAAGAAATTAATGATGAAAGGAAAAACTGATACCCTCCCCTGGAGATATGAGGTATGGGAATGGAAAGAACAAAGAAATGTGGACCTTGTAAGTTATGCTCTCAGAAGAAGTGGATAGAGTCCATAAAGGAGGCAGGGGAAATGGCATCCTAAGCTTGTGAAGCCCTACGATCTAGAAGACAGGAGAAAACTGAGTCTTAGTGAGGAGTTGTCTCTCCTCACTGCTCTTCTTGCACCCTTTCAGCCCTGACAATCTGCCTCCTGCAAAATCTACTTTTGCACTACTCTGATCCTGGAGTTACTCTCCACTGGTCTGCTTCCCATGGAGAAGTTAGAATGACTTGAAATTTGCCTATGGTTTCTGTGCTAGGCTTGGAAGGGATGGGTGAGTGGGGGCTATATTGTCCTGAGGGCGATTGTCCTGTATCTGGTAGAGATGTCGGAACGATGCACAGCTAGCATGACAGAGCTCAAGATTTGGTCCCCTAACTTCAGTGGGAATTTTGGGTACACACATAATGCAAGTAGAATTGGGCCAAAATATATCTGGTATATTATTCAGCATTAAAGAGGTTAATATTTTCATGTACGTAGTCATTGCTTAAACTCTTTTGCTTTCACTCTATTCATGTTGAGCACTGTCACTTGCTCCTTTTAAAAATCCACAAAATTTATCACCAAACACATAAAAAATTAGCTAAGGATTGTAACTGAACTGACCATAGAGGCCATAAGGCCTCGGGTACATCTATACTTACCTCCGGGTTCGGCGGTAAGCAATTGATCTTCTGGGATCGATTTATTGCGTCTTGTCTAGACGCGATAAATCGATCCCGGATCGATCCCGGAAGTGCTCGCCGTCGACGCTGGTACTCTTGCTCCGCGAGAGGAGTAGGCGGAGTCGACGGGGGAGCCTGCCTGCCGCGTGTGGACCTTTGGTAAGTACCTTTAAGTTCGAACTAAGGTACTTCGACTTCAGCTACGTTATTCACGTAGCTGAAGTTGCGTATCTTAGTTCGAACTGGGGGGTTAGTGTGGACCAGCCCCTCCACTATACCTTCTCCTTCTTAGAGCTCCTGCTATTGTCTGATCACTGTCAATCTTCTCACATATAGTGATGCCCGATTACAGATGGAATGGTTTGTTAAACTTCAAAAGCATTTCTAAGTGCTGTAAAGTACCAAAAAGATGTCTTATTTAGAATGGAACATATAATACCTGCCAAATTTGCAGGTTTGAAACCACTTCCAATCAGAATTAAAAAGGCCCTCTTCCCATCTGAAATAGGGCTATCAATACTTGACTTGTCTGCCCACGTGAAATAGAGGGTTCTTGTCTTTGACATCGCAATTTAGTTTAAAATAGCTTTGATGATGACAGGGTACATAGGAAAGATAAAACCATAAAGATGACAGTCTAATCTTCTAAGATGACCGATCACTGATAAAAGATTAAGTAACGCAACATTTCAAATACTAGATTATCTGTCTGTTGGCATAGTGTCTGTATACAGCTCCTGCTGAGCCTTGCTGAGATACCACTGACATGTGAAGATGTTGCTTCTTACAGACTAAAAATGCTGCACAGAATTCCTCAAACTATCAGGTTAAAAGGAAAAAAAAGAAGAAACAGCCCTGATCTGCCACGGAGTTTTATTAGTCAAACATTTGTTTTCCAAGCTAGCAAAGCATTTAGATGTACAGCATAGAAATAATTTAGAGACACTATAAAAATAGTCTTAAACCTTCAATCCTGCCCTATAGTTAGCACTCACAGATAGACTGCCAATAGTTTAGTGATTATTAAACACCTTTTATTATCAGTTTTACAAACGATAATAAAAAAGGGAAATTATACTTACAAGAATTATTAGACATGCTGGTCCTATAAAACTCCATATAAAGTTATTCTTTGTGCTGAGCCAACATCTGAAAAGTAAACAGCACAGAATGTCTTGAAATGTGCCCAACTCCTACGTATACTTCCTCTGCATTCGTACACCATGTTACTAACTGAAACAGACATGTAAAACAGCAACTTACACTTCGCTAGTGCCGTAATATTTATATCCTAGCGCTGCTGAAATTCCTACCACCACTGCTGGACTCACGTAACCAAAGATATAGAAGTTCTTGTGTAAGAATCCCTTGTTGTAGATGACTCCCACAACTATAAGGTACAGGTGTATGCCTTCGATGCACATCCATGCAAAGGCAGCTAAAAGGAAATAATGGAGTAATCCAGCAGTGATTGAACAGAAGAGCTAGAAAGTCAACCAGAGAAAGCAAAGTCATAAATAGTAATGAATGTATTACTATTACAATACATGACCGGGGGCTCTGTTTATTAATAATTATGCCAAAAGGGTATTATCACAGTCTAAATTTAACCATGACTTAGAGATACTTGGCCTAAACCTCTTCATTATTATTTTTCTGTAGCAATCTGTAAAGCAAAGAAAATATATTTAACCTTTAAAATCAAGCGGTGGATATGTCTGTGTCCCCTTACCCAAATCCCTCTAAATGGACACTCTTGACCCCACAACTGGAGCTGACTAGTCTATATATTGTGCTGAATTAATTAAGATGCATTTTTCCTTTAGATACCAAAATTAAATTGCCTGGCAAATCATTATTTAAAGTTTTATTTTAAAGCATATGGACATGCTTTTAGTAAACAATGCTTGTAAAATTACACTCCTCAGTCAATCAATACTGGAGAGCTGTCTCAGGAATTTCAAATGATATTTTTCAATCAATTTAAAATACTGTTCTGCAATACATGAGAAAAGAGAAGATGCTTTTTTAGCAACTGTCCATTATTAAAATGATGTCAAGCTAATTCAAAAATCATAATTATTAATATCTGACATGTACATAGCAACTTTTACCTGAGAATCTCAAGGTGCTAAAGAAGTCTTTTTACATCACTGAGGTGGATTACACAGGGATTACTTCACAACCCCCACCTCCACTGAGACTCAGACACCTCTGGTGTGTGGTACACAGCAATGCTAACCAGCAGTTTAAGGCAGGATTTGAAGAATACCATATTCACTTGAAACTACAGGATATTTTAGGTAGGCAGAATATATCTAGGTGAACTATAATCTTCCCAGGAAGCAGGGCTCAACATCCTTACTCCACTGAAGAGTGTCATGAGGTCTTCAGTGACAGTGAATGGTCAAGAGGGGGAGGGATAGCTCAGTAGTTTGAGCACTGGCCTACTAAACCCAGGGCTGTGAATTCAATACTTGAGGGGGCCATTGAGGGATCTGGGGAAGGAAAAAAAAAACATAACTAACTGTCAGGGAGAGTACTTGGTCCTGCTAGTGAAGGCAGGGGACTGGACTTGATGACCTTTCAAGGTCCCTTCCACCTCTATGAGATAGGTATATCTCTATATATTCTAATCACTTTTAGATCTTATCTGGTAGATGGCACTTCTAGCAGCACAGTGTCTTTAACACAAGGCTGAGGCTGGTTCAGGACTGACTCTGAGGGAAAAGTGCCATACATTGATTCACCAGCATTGCTTTGTACAGCACCTAAATGCTTAGTTGGTGGAACTGTTAAAGGTCAAAACATTAGGGTTGTGAAATAGTTGAAATACCAACCACACCGAGGCCAAGTTTTCAGATAGCGTAAACTGGCAAAGCACTATTGAATTCAATGGAGCTACATCAATTAATGTGGCTCTATTTCTTGAACTAAAACATGCACAATAAAAACACATTGTATTCACCATAAGTACTGTGGAGACTAGGATGTTAATAGCACTAGAACGTTCATATTAACATCAGAAAATATTGCATGCTATATGGAAAATGGTACTTTATACTGTATATTTACTTTGCAAATGTAAAAATCAAGGAATGACAAAGGCTACGCACCTTATTATTGTTCATATTAATTCCAACAAGAAAGATAAGTTCTGCCAGGAAAAGACTGCAGCAGAGATTTTTGTGAATTGTTGTTCTAGTGCTTTGAATTTCACTGAAGAACCAGAAGGTAAAAATGCACATGGAGAGGCAAATCAACGAAATAATTATTCCTAGCTGAGTGATTCTTGTAAGAATGTTATAATTTGTAACACCCTGGGGGAAAATTATATTATAATAGTTAAGAGAATAACTGTGTACCTTGTCAAAAAAGCATCATTCTATAATATACTCCCTTTTACCTTTTTGCAAAACATACATCAAAACTGTTTGTAGGGTTGCAGTGCAAATGCACACTTTTGATAAGCTCAAAAGTATTTTTTTTTTGAGGCAGATATAATGCTCAGTAAAACCAACAATAAAATATATATTTCAATGTTCTTAACACCAGTGATGTGTTATTTCCTTGCATAATATCATTTTAGTCTTGATATCTGGTAATATGACTTTAAAAAAATCTAATCTATTACTAATTGACAAACATATTGGCAACAGAAAATTTATTAATACCTGACATTAAAATATTACCCCATCAGTGACTCATTCATATTTGCCTACATAGAATAAGGGCATCACTTTTCTTCAATGTAAACATGAGCAATAAAAGACTTGGAAATCACAACTGCTTAAATCAAATGCTAGTTCAAGATACTTAGTATGGAAATGGTCTAAAATATTATGGGCTATTTTTAATGATTACGTGCACGTATTTTCTGTGCAGAAGGACAGTTACATTGGCTACTTGGTATTCAGCAAAAAGAACCTCTGAAATACGTGACTGCATAAGGGCAGGCTGTTGCTGGCCATAAAGTATATCTAAGTATGAATTCTAAATACAGGCCCAGAGATTATCCTCTTTTTAAAATGAACTATATCAGGACCCCTCAAAAGTCTTAAATTTGAACGGAAGACTTAAGATGCTATTTAGCAACTAAGAAGCACCCTCAATCAGTATGAAGTGCACAGTGTGGAAGAATTGTCTCAGCACAACGTATTCATGCTAATGCTCTTCTTATCACCAATTCTAATGCCTAAAAAGCTGCCTCCTGAGACTAAACCTAGGCTCCTATATATCTATATATATATCCTGTATGGATTCCAAAAACCTTAGGAGCCTTTTAATGTAAATGGGGCACAAAGTGCGGGAGCATTTTCACAATTCTGTGATTTTTGTGAGGATCCCTGTTTTAATGTTCATGAACTCAGTCCTGCCTTGCTATTCCTATGCAATTTTCTGACAATGCTATTGCAACTCAGGGGATACATTTAAAGGAGACATTCCAGATTTTTAGATACTAAGACAAATATATGACAAAAAAGCATTGTGAGCAAAATCCCAGGCCATATGGTTGCTGACCACTTCAGATACCAGTTAAATCCCAATGTAGCCTTGAAGTGGGTTTTGAACTAAAGAACAACAGACTAAAGGTTTGGAACAAGATTCTTTGCTGCATCACTGTCCTGTCATACTGCAAAATGGACACAAAGAAATTCAGACAGAAATGGGAGGAATTGTGTTTTCACTGTTCACAATAAATTGTGTGTTTGCTGAATAAGGAAAAAGAGATGGAGCCAAAAGGGGGGCGGGGGGGGGGGGAGAGATGGCAATAAATTATATTAGTGGCAATGAAAAAAACCACATTAAATGAGATCTAAGTATTTGGTAAAACACTAAGTGAAAAATAGCACTTACAACAGAGCCGCCTGAAGACATCAAAACAGCAAAATGAGTCAGATGATTACATTTGCATGAGGTATGAGTAGTGTTGGAATGTGTCAGCTCACAGCCTTCGGTAGACCAGTTGCCATTCATTGTGTCTGCTGAGTAGTTCCAAAATGCACATTTAATATCCTTATCTGCAGTCTGCAAGAGAGATAAGATGTTTTACTGATGGTGAAAGGCAGACATTTTCCATCAAGAGACTCTTGTTACATTAGCCAGAACAATTCATTAAAAATTGTATTTTACTGAAGGAAGGTTCAGGAAAAAAAACCAAACCAAAACAAGACTCAACCCGCCTCCCCACTCCAAACCAACCTTCAGAACATAAAACAAACAAACAAACCTATCCCAGGCAATTAAAAATAGCACAACATTGAAATACCTGATTCACCTCATTAACAGCAGACTAAACAAGCTGGACTGATCCAATTACCCAACCTTCCTGGCATTTACAAAGGTGTCAGAATCTTATATCTGGTACACAGCTATATATACATACATGCACTATTGAATGGAACAACTTGCAACATTACAGCCACATTGCTGCCCCTATCCTACCCAATAGAACAGCTTGGTTCCATTCTTTCCTTCTCATTTCCTGCCTCTTCATTTGCAGCCCCAAGGCAGCATGGGTCTTTTCTGTTCTGTCACACTGAATACCTTGGGCACTTGTAAAGCAACCTGGGGTGCCTCAATCTACAAGTAATGTGAACTAGAAAAGGACTTTAGGCTTAGCTCACTGCTCATAAATGATCTTGTGTTGGAATAGTCCCAGGACATGGAGAAAACAGATTTGTCCTATACATTTTATAAGTCCAGCCAGAGGGTCAGGTGGGTGGGGAGAGGAGGAGGGAGCCAGGGGTACTTAAGGCCATTTCTGGCTCAACATCAACACACTGACATCAAATGTGATACTGGCAACTGCCAAGACCCCGATTATTATTATTTGTATTGTGGTAGGACCTCGGAGTGCCAGTCATGACATGCCATGGGCCAGGGCCCTGATGTGCTACACGCGCTAATGTGCACAGAACAAAAAGCTTCTGCAGTCACTTATCCTGTGCAAATCCGCTTCAATCTGATTTGAAGTGTTTCCCTTTTATGGATATAGCTCTAATCATCTGACAAACTGTTGGTGAGATTATCCGAAATACAGAAAGGTCAGAAGCCGGAAGATTCTCTGATCACACTCATAACTTTTTGCTCACAATTACAGTTCTTACCCACGAAAGCTTATGCTCCCAATACTTCTGTTAGTCTTAAAGGTGCCACAGGACCCTCTGTTGCTTTTTACAGATTCAGACTAACACGGCTACCCCTCTGATAATTACAGTCCAGTGACTCTGTAGTTATTACTGCTGACATACTCTAGAAACATTTTCCCATGGTAGCCAACATATCCTGTAGGTACAGTTATATCACATCAAATAATTACAGTACTGTTTTCCTTTCTTCAGATGTTGATTAAAAAAAAAATCTTACCTTGATGTACTTTAAAGTAAATGTTATTTTCTCAAGCTCATAGAGTGTAGGTGGATTTGAATTAATTGCAACAGCAATAACTGATGAGCTTACTGTCTCTCTCTGCTCTGAACTATCTTTCGATGAGGAGTTTTTAGATGATGAAAGCAAAGAACCAATATTGCTATACCTCAGAAACACAACTGCAACAGTGCCTATCAATCAAACAGACTGTGTTTAGTAGTTTGTGGGGTTTTTTTTTTATAGTAGAACAAAATTGAAGACATTAAGGAAACAATAAACAATAGACATTATTACTGCTATTGCATAAAATATGCAAAACAGATGGAATCTTTGTGGAATACTTATAAAAATGTTTTAGAGACAATGAAATATAGCCTTATTTAAAACAACATAATGTCCACTGGAATTAAAAATGTGTGTTTATATTGGATATTCTAATAGGATAGATGCACATTTTTTTCTGGAGCAATATATACTTGCAGCAATACTACCTCTGGCTGCAGGTCAGGTGTTTATCTTACAAGATCTGACAATGTTAATTATAGGGGATAAAATCCTGGCCCCAGTTTTAAGTTAATGGGAGTTTGGCCATTGATTTTACTGCACCCAGGATTTCGTGCCTGGTCAGTAACTGAATAGGAGACATGCAAGGCACAGAAACCTACAGTAATACGTAGGATGCTTCCTCCTGAGTCAGTATTGATACCATGCCCTTCTGTGGTGTTTGGGAGTGAGGTTTTGATTGGCTGAAAACCCAGGTAAAGACAGAGAAAGAGCTCAAGGTTGGTTTTGCCAGATTTGGGGCACTAGTTCTGGTGTTCTGGCAAAATTCTAATTTCTTATTATTATCCATATTTCAGTGACAGCATAAGGCCCCAACTAAGATCAGGGCCCCAATATCCTAAGTGCTATCCAAACACATAGTAAGAGAGTCCCTGCCCCAATAAGCTTACAAACTAAATAGACAAGATACACAGAGCTACCGAGAGTTGTGAAGTGACTTGCCCAAGGTCACCCAGCAGATCTATGGTTGAGCCAGAGATAGAGCCCAGATCTTCTAAATCCCAGAAGCCAGTGTCCTGTGCATTACACTACACCAGTGGTTCTCAAACTTCCTTACACTGTGACCCCCTTCTGACAACAAAAATTACTACACAATTAAGGGCAGGGTGGGGGTGGGGCTGTAACCTGAGCTCCACTTCCTAGGGCTTAAGCTGAAGCCTGAGTCCCACCACCCAGGGCTGAAGCCCTTGGGCTTTGGCTTCAGACCCGGGCTTCAGGGAGTCTAACCCCAGCCGTGGCAACCACATTAAAATGGGGTCGCAACCTACTTTGGGGTCCCAAACCACAGTTTGAGAAGTGCAGCACTACACTATCTCTCGCAGATCATTTAGGTACATTAGGCCTGCCAAAATTCTCCACCTTGTTTCAGCTAGACATTTTTTCTTCACTGTCTGTCCTAAAGTGTTATACAGTGGTGCTATGTGCTATTACACAGCTGTTGTGTTTCAATTTAGGGGGATAGTATGAGGGGATTTCACATAAATGGTATATTATCCCTCTAGGTTCTCAATATAGCCACCATCACTTTTGTACATCTCTGTGTGGTACTCCCGCCACTGCAATCAGGGTAACAGCTTCTTGGTTTCAAAGGACATTTGACTGGGTATTTTTCAGGAGGGGTAACTGAGTCTGCAAGTCATTCCTTCCACTTAATCCAACTCTGACAGATTGTAAGACTTGTCTACTCTCTTGGCTTTCTCTTTGCTGAGGAGTGGGTTGAGATGCATGGGGTAGTTGGGAATGGGAAGTTTTATTGTGCTGCTGATCAATTCATTCCTTGGGAGTTGGGGTCAGTCTGGATGGGCTAGTTATACTTGGATCTTACTTTACATATCTTTAATATATGTACACGCACCTCGAGCTTTAAGATAGCTACAGAAATATGCTTCCTTGTAAAGTGCTTTAGATGTGCCAGTATGATCATTAGTATTTTAGTACATTTAAAACATATTGTAATAAAACATACAAAAATGGAGGGCGGTTTCCATATAAAAACTGGCAAAAATAAGAGGCATAATATTTCTGCGGTGCATTACACCAGTGGAAGCTGTAGATAGGACCCAGGGCTAGACAACAAGGTGTTACAAATGCCTTTCTCTATTGCTATCAATGTCACAACTGCACAGTTAGTGAATTATGCATCTGATTTTTGCCAGCAAGTAGGTACCAGGAATGCTGCTTAAACCATTGTTTAATGGCTTTTTCTTACCATTAGAATTAGGTGATTCCTTTTTCTTTGGAGATATCTTTATATAATCTCCTCCCATGTGTGCATGAGGGTGAATGTGTTTCATGTGGTGCGAATCAAAAGCAAAAACCTTGAGAGCTGTAAAAAGAAAAATACTATGCAAATCACTTCCATTACAGTCTAATATAATTTACAGTTAGGTTAATAAATGTGACATCAGATTGCATAATTGTGAATTTTAAAAATACATCATTGTGCCAAATATTTCAAGGAGAAATGCTATTAATAGGTACATGTTTGCTTTAAACCTCTAGACTTCGTTATTCTAATGTATACATTTTTCTCTCATACCTTTTATTCTTTCCATGAAAAATATGGTCTTTTATTTACTTTGCATTAAATTAGGCACTGGAAAGAATAATAGGTTACTTTAGGAAGAGCTATTGCTTTATTAAAAATTCATTTCTGAAAGGGATCACAAATCACAATTATAAAAAGCAAAGGATAAAATCCTCCATTGAATAGTAACATTCGAAAAAGCCAAGTTTTGAAAAGTGAATATCTCACAGTGATCATTCCCTGGTACAAAATGCACATTGCACCATGATATAATGATGTGTGCTGTCAACAAACAAAACAAAAAACAAACAAACAATCTTCGCCCCTCAGGACAAAAACTACATTAGAGGACACTGAGCTCTTTACTCAGTTCATTATAGTGCAGAGTTTCAATCATCCACAGTGGGGAAAAAAAAAAGTCAATCAGGCCTTAAAGAAAAAAAAAGAAAAAAAAAAGAAAAAAAAAAGAAAAATCTAAAACTTGACTGATGGGCTAGAATCACTAAACTAAACCATCTGCATTGCTTATAGCACAGCACACAAAAACAATATGAGCTCTTCAATAGACCAGCTGTCAGAAAATGTTTGTCCGGATGTAAGAAATAGTTCTTTGCGGTTGAAGATTTGGATAGTCTGTAGTTCAAGAAGCTGCACCATGAAATGCAATGGAGAATGAGACATTCTTGTGGGCCTGGTCTCAAAAATAAGTGTGTGGGAAACACATCGGCATTGTGGGTAAGATATTCATAGTGCTGAGTAGTAATGGGAAGACTTCAAAAGGTTTAGAGTTTGGGTTCAGTTTGGATAAGCACCTATAAATTCAGATTCTCAAACAAAACGTTGCCAGAAAATGACTGAAATTTTCAAAGCTCTCCTTTAGGTCTCTGTATTAGCATCTGCTCTCTTTAGGGTATGGCCTAGTAAACTACTCCCACAGTTGGCCATACAACTGGGTCCATCTGTGCTACAAATTACAAATGTAACAGGCTCCCTGGAGCTTATGAGACTGGTTCATTCTGTGTTGTCTCCCTCATTTCATCTGACAACAGCAAATCTCACTGAAGTGAAAGAAGGAAAAGGATCTGTTCTTCCTTAGAAACGGAGGCAGGTTTTTTCTCAGTATCATGGTGCATTTTGGGGAGTGATCTGTAAATGGCAAGATTTATGTGACCAGGGGAGGGAATACTGGATTTTACTACACCAGATCAGGAAACTGGATCAATCAGAGGATATATGAGTTACTCTGGAAGAAGAAAAGCAGAATGGCTGGTCAAAACCAAAAAGGGGAAAGAATATAGTCTTAGGATAGAGTCTCAAAAAGGGCACAGCACGAGCCTTACTCTGCTCCCACTGAAGCCTACAGTAACACTGTTATCTTCACTGCATGACTGCCTTCAGTGAGAGGAGATAGGCCAAAGCTGAGCACTTTTGAAAATGCTACTCTTAGTGTCTTCCTAAGACCATAACACAGAAGACAAGCAAATTATACACGGAGGGAGATAGTGGGAAGTCAAGTTGAGATCTTCCCCAATATCCTTATCTGAACTTTCTTGAAATTCAAAACACAGCTGTGCCATCACCAACACAGGGCTGGGCCTTCAAGGCACAGACTAGTTCAACGTTTGTTTACATTGCTTTTACTGAATCAAAAATAAAACAAAACGTGGCTTGTAGAGTTCTGCTAGCAACTCTAATTTTCATTCTGTTGGCATTTTTAATGCATCTGTTCAAGATGTACAGTGATTTGCTAAAAGCAGTGTGATGACTGCCACTTTGGTCATGAGTGAAGTTTGAACTGGAAAACATTCAGAGCGGAAAGCATGACCCTCTATATCATCCCTCTAAGAACCAATCTAGATCCTCAGCTGGTGCACCCGGTCTTACCTTCATTGAAGTCAATATAGTTAGATGATTTACATTAGCCCAGGGTCTGGCCCAAAATCTGTAGGTGTTTTTTGGTTGCTCCTTCAAACTCTTAAAACCCCAAATCTCTGGGTTTTACATAACACTACTTTAATCTCAACAATTTATACTGAAAAAATTTCACAGTGTAATTCACATCTAAAGTATCACTTACATTCATTTTCTTTTTCTTACCCATTTCACTTGCATTAATATCTAGCTGTGTTGTCTTTTTGAAGTTCTGTGACATGAGCAGCATTGCCTGTTCCGCAGCATGCATCAGCTTAGTGAGACTTGTTCTCCTGTTATCTGTAGGGAGTGCTTCCCAAACTGTAATTTTATCCTTTTGAACAAAATTGTTCACGGTGTTAACAAAAACCTGTCAGTATAAAAATATTTTTAAGCACAAAAGCCTTATGCTATTTATAAAAGGAAAAAAAATACAACAGTAATGCTCAAGCCACTTACATTAATAGTCACATTAGTAAGTGCTTCCTTGTCAGAAATTGTGTTATTCATAGTACTTAGTGATGGGTAAGATACAGATAATGCTTCCACATATGAAATCATATCTACAGGTGAAAGTTGTCCCACAGTGTTCCTATTGAATTCTTGCAGGAAAGCCAAGGGTTCTTTTATAGTCCTAATCTGAAAGAAACAGGAAATCAGTATACTTAGGAGATTCCACTGGCAATTCAACCAGCAAAGCAACCACTGATGACCTTTTGGGAATATAAAAGAGTTGCACAAATGATGGGGAAATAAATTAATGATTTCTGTGAATTAGTGAATAAGGGCCGGTTTCTACACACAAACAGGGGCACAGCAGGTCAGTGGGTCTACTTATGGAGCTACTCCAATTGAGTAGGCAAGCCAGAATTTGACCAGGCAAATAGACATCATAAAAGTATAATACATATCCAGCATACTGTCTTAATTTATTTTGACCAGTACAACTCAGTTTTATTTAGCATAATGCTCCATTATGTACTAGTAAACATTTTGTTGCATATTTTGTAAAAATAATTAAATCTTAGTAGTATGGCAACTTACCTACAGCCTCTTCTGTTAAATCTTTGCTGAGAGGTGGAAACAGATGGCCAGTTTTTTTAAAAATGAGGACTATAAAGCACACAGATTACCAAAATTCTATTGCAATCTTAATCTTCACTGCTAAGGGTTGAAAACTATTAAATAACTTCCCTACTGAAAATATTAATATAAAGTAATTAGATGGAAATGTTTGTACAAAAATGTTTATATTAGTAATCGGCTGAGAAGATTGAGATCTGGATCTGTATTAGGTTTAGGCTAGGGTTCAGAATTCAGTGTCATGACTGAATCAGAGAAGGGTTTCAGATTTTCTGGCATTGAAATCCAATGAGATTTCATCCTTATATAGTAGAAACATAATGAAATCATCCAATTTGGTGAGATTCCTGTGATCTCAAAGGTGAATATCCCATGAGATAGTGCTCTCATGAGATCCAGACTTTATCTTTGGTTGCATTCTAATGGAACTGGAAAACGGGCCTCTTTCTGTTTTTGATCTAACTCAGAATCAAAACTACAGGGGTAGGTTCAGATCCAAGGGCTCAAATTTAAAGCATTAATTTTTCTTCCAAATTTAGATTCAAGGTTTTGACCCAACCCTAGTTTAAATACAGGTTTAAAAACAGACAGTCATTCGGTTTTAAGTTCAGATGTTGTACTTATCCTGTCTTCTCTACTTAATTTACAGTAAGCATGTTAATGTAATGTATACCTTAAAATTGAAGAAATCAAACCTCTTATGTTAAAAGACTGGGTTCTTTTAAATCTGATCATTGAGGCAAACTGCTTGAGATAAAAAGCAAACACACACAGTGGTGATTCACTTAGTCAAATCAGAAACCGATAGTCTTGTGGACTCACCAGTTTATTTAATTTGCTGTTTGAAATTTATGCTTCTGGGGAAAAAATCTGGTTCCCCAATTCTTTCACATGCAGCCTAACACACGATGTTTTGAAGGAGAGAAAAATATTGGTACCCAAGTGTATTATTGCTCTATTTTATATTTTGTCACTTGCCTTCACTGCCTCTATAAATTATCTTTCTAGGTTTCCTTCAGAACAAACAAATAGCTGCACATAATTAAATGTAGAAAGGTGTAATTTCAAGAACTTGCCATTCAGAAACTGTTGAGTGATTACCACACTTCTGAATTCTATGCACAACATGATTTAGTTCACTGGAGATACAAACAAAACAAAGCTTGCAGGCAAATTAACACTGCTATTCAAATACATAACCATTTCAAATAAGCTGGAAGTATTAAAAAGACTTCTATATATATGCTTACATTCAACTATATCTTCAACCATTTGTTAAAAGTGCCTCAATAGATATTATAATAGAAATAACAGTTTTAAAAGAGAAACAATAAAAGAATTTGCAAATTAATCTATAAACCATTGCTACTTACTTCAGCTAAGGTTTGAGTAATATTTTCAGTTATACAGTCACTATGTAACTTGCACTTTGCCTTTAGATTTTCTGTAGAAATTAAAAAGAAGACTAATCAATTACAGTAACAGTTCTTGCATAAGAAAACCCAAACCTATACAGTATTTGACACTTGTGCCTACATATGGATCATTCACAAGCATAAGCTATTAAGACCTGATTCTGACCTCACTTACTGGGTTTACACTGGTATAAAGGCACCAAGCCACATTCTCTGCTGGTTTAAATGGGAACAGCTCCATTTACTTCAGTGGAGTTTTGCTAGTTTACACCAGCAGAAAATCTGACCCATTGACTCACTGGGCTGGTCTACACTGGGGGGGGTGGGAAATCGATCCAAGATACGCAACTTCAGCTACGCGAATAGCGTAGCTGAAGTCAAAGTATCTTGGATTGAATTACCTGGGGTCCACATGGCGTGGGATCGATGGCCGCGGCTCCCCCATCGACTGCGCTACCACCGCTCCCTCTGGTGGAGTTCCGGAGTTGACGGTGAGCGCGTTCAAGGATTGATATATCGCGTCTTAACGAGACGCGATATATCGATCCCAGATAAATCGATTGCTACCCGCCGATACGGCGGGTAGTGAAGACGTACCCACTGTTTACACTGGTATGAGTGAGAGAAAAAATCGGGCTTATACAGCTTAGAACACATGTCAGCACAATGTCAGGTTGGGTCTTCAGATTTCATCACATTGTTCAGTACAAATACATTTCTAAGAGTACATCTCAATGATATTCTTAGAAAATATAGGTGTGAGTGCCTTGCCTCTTTTTCATGTCTGGCTGATTAATCTAACTGAAGATAAAGAGACACTGGTGGGTTTCTCAGAAGATGTAGTTCTATAATAACACATAAACCTTTATAATATCATTTACCTTGGCAGGAAGTGCCATCATTTGGCTTAAACTGTAATTTTCCTGTGGATGGTTGATAACCTTCCTTACAGGAGCAGTTATATCCTCCATCCACATTTTCACATTTCGCATGATCTCCACAGGCAATGGTTACTGCTTCACTGCACTCATCTATATCTGCAAATATCGTGAGAAATTGAATTTTTTATTAAGTATTTAAAGACTAACACCTTGCTGCCTTGTTGATAAGTTATGCATAAAGCAATTTCACATCAACATTTCACAAAATACTATTAAAGAAAAAAATAGCAAAAAGCTAACAAAGCCAAATTTAATGGCAAACACATCTACTAATTATATCACTTAGGGTTTGGAACAATAAAGCACAATTAAGCATCTTTTTAATATTAAAAATATTCAATGAGAGACTGCTGATTTTTTGCACAGCTATAACAACTCTGTGTTCACTGAAAAAGCCTTCTATTTGTACATATATTTTTCATGTTTTAAAAGTGAGTTTAATTCAACAATATCAAAATACTAGACTATGTATGATGAAAATAATCTGAAACCTAATTTTTCTACATATTATACTAAAATAGATTGTACTACCTTATTATTCAGTTAGAAAAGAGAGAGGAAACTGGTATACACAGCCTTTTGATTTAAAGTCAATGCTTTATTATTTTAGTATTTAAAGGATCAATTTGCCTGTCTGGTTAATCTGATATTTAAGTCAAAGGCTCTTCAAAGTGCTTGACTTGTCTATTTTATCCACATTTAAACTTGATTTCCCTAAAATTGATGATGCCTTCCTAATTAATTTGGGTAGGTAAGTTCAGTAATTCAATTGACTGAGTGAGAGTGGGTCTGAGAATTAAACTGATGAATTGTGGGAAGGAAATCTGTGAATTGATGGATTTGGAAAGGCAGGGCAAAAACTGATTTGATGGATGGGAAAGGGGGTCTTGCATTATATCGACTGACTGGGGATAGCGACCAAATAATTCAGCTGATACACTGAGTCTTGAAACTATACTGAGTAATTGTGAGCAGTGGGGTAGGGGTCTGAGAAATTATGTACTGGGGGAGGAGGGAAGAACTAAACAGGCTGGAAAGAGGAAGGACCGAAAAAAGAATTGATTAATTTGTAGAGAGAAGCCAATACATGTATAGATTTAGAAGAGGAGGGGCTGAGAATTGAACTGAAGGATTGTGGAGGTGGAAAACAGAACTGATGATCTGGGAAAGAGGCCAAAATTAAGTTGGTGATTTGGGGATTACTGAATACATTGGGTAGAGGTTGGGGGAAAACAACTGGAGATCTGCTTGCGGGAGGGTGCAAACACTTATGAATTGATGGAGGGGCTCATGCTGATAAGAGGGGCTCAGGGGAGAACAAGTTGAGAATGGATGCGGGGACTACAAAACAGTCTTTTAGTTTTGAGGAACTGATAATTGGTTTTCAGTGCTGGCACTGTTTAGATTAGAGAGTGGATTTCTGGTGACAGTGATTCTGTGAGGCAAAAATGGGTAAGAAAAAGAAGAATGAATAGATTTGGCACAGAAAGGGGAGAGTACGGATTAGGAGGAGCGGGAATACATTTGTCGAAAGTAGATGTTAGAACATCATTTGCCAACGGCAAGCATGTCTGGTTAAAAAAAAGTCAGATAAATGCTTTAAAAAAATCTTATGTCCACGGAATTGTACATGGCATTTGAACATTTAATGGAGGAGTCTAAGAACCATCTCACCCCACTTTTTTTTATTGCTTTGTCTGCAGTCCCCCACAACCTCCTATCTTCTACTGGTTTAGACTGAGGCCTTCCTAGACAATTACAGCTTGCCATAATCACACTGGAAGGCACTAAGAGGTATCTTGAAAGATCAAAGGTGAGGCTAAGTTGCTGACATCTGTATTATGTTGATAATTCGTTTTGATACTTAATTAACAAATATTGAGTCATTTGATTTCAGCATATGGGCTTTTGTATTATTTATATCTGAATGGTTTTTATGACCTGCCTGCTGAGGTGGCAACCATGTCAAATCTCAGTGGATTGATAAAAGTGAGGAAAACAAAAAGAGAAGTACCATGTGAGATATTGCTACACAAAGGGTAAATCATAATTAAATGCTGTCATTTGAAGGCATGGGGCCAAAGACACTAGTCCTGGCATTTAAATAATCCACTCACATCAATTAATTGTATGGCTCTTTTCTGGAGCATGTAAATGTCACTCAATGTCCCGCTATGTGACTCAGTGTAACATAGATGCACTTGGATTAAATTGAAGTGCCAAGGGTGAGAAAACAATGACAACGCCAGTCTGCATAATGGCTCCACAGATGAGCCTCATCTCCAGGGATTTTCTTGGCCTTCTCAGCTATGTAGAGAAGGATGTGTAAGTCCTAACAAGATCTCCAGCATGCAGCTCATTGTGAAATATCAATAAATGACAAACTTCACAACAACCCGAAATGCCTGATTTGAATGTGTGCTAAAGTAATCTATTAATAGTTTGATTTATAACAACACTTATAAAGTTGGTATTAAAATCAATAGATGACTAATAGCAACCTTCCTTTCCTAAAAATTATACCTCCTAGAGATGTGCATAAATAATTGAACGTACTCCAGATCATCATTGCTAAGTATCAGGTTGCTATGTCACTTATCATTACAAAAGTTTTTCCAGGTTATTATACTTGTCTTGGAACATATGATAATTTGTTTTTCATAAACCCAAATCATTTATTTGTCATTATCAGGTATTTATACAAATTACCTTTCTTTTCATACTGTTGTCACATATTAATTGTAATGGAGACCTTAATGAGGAGGCAGGATTATCAAAACAGAAATGGAAGTTCATGGACATGACAGGCAACAAAGATGCTAAGGACATACAAACCGACTGAGGAGTATATACAAATAGTTTATCTGCAGCTGAGTTGTCTATACAGAATTAATTTATATGAATCCTAGCTAATTCAGTGTTTGCTGGAGAAAATATTTACTGGAATAGATAATTAAAAGGTACTGATCACCTTCTTGTTCTCTTTAAACAAATATGATTTGCAGGTGCCATCAACAATTTTACTACCATTTCAAGGTAGATTGCATGTTGCTTTTAAATAGTTTAAAAGTGTCAGTTTACATTTTCTTCTGTACTTTTTGCAGGGTTTTGGGGTTTTTGGGGGGTCATTCTATTTTAGATGAATATGCAACTTTAGACCAAACAGGAAACAACAGCTTGTCAATGCTTTTAGAAAGTGATCCATTTCCACCTGAGGTTTGTAGCTAGGAGCCCATTCATTCTCCCATTACCTACAACAGGAGCAAGTTTGGGCCCCAAAAACCCAGTCTTATGACTCTAACTCACATGAGTAGTCTTTAGTGAGAAGATTCATGAGTGATGGTTGAAGGACTGGGCCCTTTAATGAGAAGACCAATTGCCATGGCTCAGCAAGGAACCCTGCCTTTCAGAAAATATTCAAAATAAACTCTGGAAGTGAGCTTTGAAGCCTTTATAATAGCTCTGATCAGAAAGAAATATTAAAGCAAAACCCCCCAAAATAACACCACCAACACCATTTAACTAGTATGAAAAGAGATGTATAACTTTTTATTATATTTCTGCTTTTTTGTCACTGCTCATTTACTACAGCAGGCAAGATAATTCCAATTAATATAAAGGTAGTGAGAATGGTTATTATGTTCAGTCTTGCCAATTATGGGATCATAGCTATATTTCTTTGATTCTTCATCAGCCAGTCAAGACAGCTTGATGTCTACATTATAAATGATGCTTATTAGTAGCTTGCAGGGTATTGAAAAGTCCACTGGTAAAGGACCAGATGTTCCTTTTGGTTTTGCACTGTGGAGGGAAGCAATGTACACAAAGTGGATTCCAAATTGTCCTAAGAAGGGCATATGCAAAGAGATAACAGCTATGCGGCATAATAACATATCCCCACACAAACGGCACTCCGAAGTTCTATGAGGGAGAAAGGGTGAATGGCCAATCAGCTGGGGGAAAAGTCAGGACCCGAATGCAGTAGCGTATGTTTGGAAGAATGGTGCAGCTTCTTCCAGAAATCGTGATGCAGAGATGTCAAATTCATTCTGGACAGAAACAAATTCTATTTTTGACCCCTTGGGCTGGGGTTACAATTTAGGGTCCATTCCCCTTTGACCCACAGGAGAACTAATATACAAAGATCAAGGGTGGAAAATGGCTTTTATGTAGTAAATAAGCTTATAATTATTATTTAACTTATATTGAGCATCAGAAGCGGGAAAATATCCTCACCTTCAGGACCACCACTATTTCTACTTTGTGTTTTTTTTCCATTCCCTATTCTCCTTTCTCAATTTCGCTGTCCCCTGTCTTTGTGACTCTCCTCCTTTCTTCCCTGTGTTTTTCCTTCTCTACAGCAACCTCCAGTTTTTCTTCTCCCTGTGGGTGTAATCATCACCCCATTCCCTAATCTATCTGATATAATGATCAGCCATGAAAAACTTATCACTGACATGTAAAGTGTCATCATTAGATATGAGAGTTAACAGCCCAATTAGATTAATGGGGGGGAACTGCCATCTCCCAGAACCAGTGTTTTAGGCTGTCTTTAGACCCAGGAAGACAACATTGCATCGGTTATGCTTGCTTCACATTTGAAAGGTTAACATGACATCTCAGAGGGATAGAAACTTTTTGTTTGTTTGTTTAAAGAAAGCTTAGATTGTGCAAATTCAGAATGTGTCTTGGGGCCACATAAATCATCAAGTGGGCTGACAGCACTGTCCTAGTGCAAATTAAGCAGCTCTGAGTTGTACAGCATAGACAACACTCCTATTATAATACTGATGCCCACTCCAGACATATGGCACTGCCTGCCACCTAGGTACACCACTAGGGTGCTATTGTCTGTGTGTAGAAGACATGTCTGAGACCTCTCCCACATGTAGATGATCCATGGGTTACAACGTAATCCTCTATGGCTTCCTTGATAAACTGCAAAACTGACTTTATTTATTTTGTACCTGTATTTAATGAGATAATATGCCACGAGGTTATTTTTTGTTTTGGAACATGTCAGCTCCATCCACACTGATTTGCACAAAAGAAGAGAAAAGCTGACAATGAAGGACCACTAGAGGATGACAGTAGAATGTCTGCACCCTGAACAGCAGGGAAAAAAGTTTATTATTAATTTATAATACCTTAGGCATGGAACAGGACCCCATTGTGTTAGGTGGTATACAATCACAGAACAAAGAGATAGTCCTTGCCCCATCTAGATACTTACAATCTAGGATACGTCTGCTTTGAAATCAGGGACTTCAGCACGTGTAGGCATATCCAAGCTAGCTTGGATCTAGCTAACTCGAATAATAATAGTGAAGCTGCAGCAGCACAGGTGGCAGCACGGATTAGCCTCTTGAGTACATAGCTAGCTAGACCAATGCTAGCTCAGGTATGTCTACACGTGCTTCAGTCACACCTATGGCTGCAGTGTAGACATAATCTTAGTACAAGAAAAGAGACAAGGGATGGATATAGACAGACAAACGTAATAATAAAAAGTAATCTCTCTCAATTGGCAAAAAAGTAAAGCAAAACTAGGAACATTCAAGTGAAAACTTTGAAGACAAGACTTCTGAAGCTTATAGTAAAAATCAAGACATCTTCTAGAAATAGGTAATTTTTATAGCTAATTGTGCTCACAACATGAATCCCAGATTACTAAATTGCTGTGAATCTGTTCTCAAGTTAAATGGAAACATGGTATCAGGATGTGAGGAACATCAATGAAAGTTTGACTAGATCACTCTCTAGCCTAATATGCCACTATTTTGCTTATATTTGGAATGATAAGAAAAGACAGAGATTGTCAGGACTGCCAAGCTTTGGAGAGAGATATCTGGAACTAGATATAATCAGCCCAAAGAGGATATACCTGTGTAAAGAGGCAACAGATTTATTGCTTGTTTTTCCATTCCCCAAAGAGTATCACAGCACACAAAGAAAATTACCAAAGGATTGAAAAAAGAGAAATAGTTACAATTCTTCCAAGGAAGGGCAATCCTTAAGGACTGCACAATTGTTCAGAAATAATATTTTCACAGAGAATATTTCTGTCTTGTAATCCTAAACGTGATCCATCAAACTGCTACACAGGCAGAAACTGAAGGACTGCACAGAGGGTAGGTAGCTACTCATTCTACTCACTACCTTAAACCAGAACTGAAAAGAAGAATTAGTGAGGGATGAAGGGAATTTTGGAATATTGGCCAGAGTCTGGTGCTGAGGTGTAAGCAAACTGAACGTGGCTGGGACAAACCCTAAAGGCCATTCTGCTGGTCCAGGATCAGTGGATTGCCTTGAATTCTGACCAAATCCCATCTGACCCCTGCCAGGCCCATTGTGTTGGCAGAACCAGGAGAAGGTGGTGTAAGATGGAAAGAATGCGGGCCACCATTTGGCCTTAGATTTGTATTCCTATATAAAGCTACTGCATTCGGTTTAAATCCTGAAGTTCTGTTGAGGTCAATGGGACTTTTGTTGAGTAAAGATTATAGGAAGCAGAATTTTATTATTGAGACATAGGGGCTTGAACTGGAATACCAGGTCTGTGAATTGTGGGAAGCTCTCATCCAAATTGCACAGATCAGGGCACCTGAATTTCTTTTACTGGATTTCTCTAATTAACAGGAGGCATAAGAAATAAGTGACAAATTAAAGCTACCTGGATGACATTATAGTAACTTACCCACACAAAAGGTTCCATCATTAGTTACAAACTTCTCTTGACCACTGCTCGATCTGAAACCAGTTGCACACATGCAGTAATAACTCCCCACAGTATTGGTACAGTTGGCGTTCTCTCCACAAGGTTGTGTAGCATTTTCACATTCGTTATCATCTGTCAAGAGACAAATTACATAAAAATAATTTTCATTTGCCAGTTTAACAAAATAATGGTTTAATCTGGACTCCAGTATTTTTTATTTATAGATGTTGAGATTAACATGCTGATTATTTGTTTAGCACTGGCCTCACCAATGCCAAAGACTTAATCATGCTCAAAGCCACATAGGTATCCAAAGTAAAACTTTCCACTACATGCATCTGACGAAGTGGGTATTCACCCACGAAAGCTTATGCTCCAATACGTCTGTTAGTCTATAAGGTGCCACAGGACTCTTTGTCACTTTTTACAAAGGAAAACCAGCTCTGTATTAGAGCAGAACAGAAATGCATGTACTAAACTGATGTTCTAGCAGGAATCCCCACTTCCAAATCACATATCAGGTCAGATACGCTCATGTTTGCCTGATCTCCAAATAGAGACCTGGTGTGATGTCATGGGCCTCAAACCCAGGCCTGAGAGTGCCCAGACAACTGTCGCATTTTCATCTCCACCCAATGTCTGCTGAAGCCTGGTGGGTTGAGGAGCTAATATAACTACAGCCTCAGCCGAGGCACCACCCACAGGAGCCTGGATTGGAGGATCGCCAAACTCCACGTAAGCCAGAAGGAGGCATAGGAAGTTGTCTGAGCAACTAGGTAATTCCCTGTTGCTGCTGCATTGGATCCTGCTTGTGCCTGCTTCCTTCATTCTGCACCCAACCCTGTTCCTGATTCCTTCTTTCCTCCTGGCTTCCCCCTGCCTTTGTTCCTGCTCACCACTGTGCTCCTGCTCTGTGCCTGATCCTTGCCTCTCTTCCAGTTCCTGTCATTTTGCCTCACTTCAGTTACCAGTCCCAGCGCTGACCCTGGGCTCTGGTAATTGGCAGTTGGCTCTGGTGCTGACCCTTGACTTTATCTGCTGACCTGGACACCTGCTGTACCCACTAGACCTGACTTTTGCTCTGACCTTCAGACATTTGTCCCAGTCCTTAACATGTGGATGGTGTCCCGAGATCCACACATGGAGGATGGGCCATGGGCAGGTGCACAGATATACAGTATATTGTTCTCCACTTCCATCCTTCTAGAGATTTTTTGGAAAAGAATGCATTATTTTTGCTATGGAGCCTCCTCTCCTTAGGGTCCCTGGGACAGCTAATGCCAAAGAGAAGAGGGCTTCTGCCAGGGGCAAGAATTCTGACCTAGATAACCTTAATCTCCCACAAATTTTGGGGGATTCACCAACTATAAAGGCAGGCCCAGTGGTATATTTCAGAAGGGGGCCAACCCATGCTCTCAATGGAACAACAGGGAAATAACTTCATAAGGGTATCTTTCCGAAGATTACTTCTCTAGACACCTTTCCTGTGGGTTTTATCATGGGGGAGAGGGAGGAGAAGAGGAATGATCCAAGTGATTTGGCAAAACATACTAAGAAGCCATAGACTAGCGCATTAGTCAAGTGAATCAATACACACAATACAACTATTTCTTCTATTTTCTTCCATGCACATTGCATTCTAGATGCTCTATCCAATTAAATAATCATCTGACCAACTTTAGGGAACACTGCAAAACCTTAATCTTCAATAAAGTCTATTCATTATAGCAAGAATGACAACACCGATACCTCCACCCACTCAAATGTTCCCCCCCCCCAAAATCCTGAAGCAAAAGAAATAAATTAACCTACCAAGAGCTCCCCGGAACCAAAAAATACTCCAAGCAGAGTTTTTAATCCTAAAAGAGGGAGGCTCTGGCTATTCCCATGAAGTCCACTAGGGACTTTGCTCTTACTTTTATATGGAAGATGCTCAGAGTCTATAGTGATGGGGAGCAGTATAAAACCCTAAGGCTTGGTCTACACTTACCCCCCAAGTCGAAGTAAGGTACGCAAATTCAGCTACGTGAATAACGTAGCTGAATTCGACATACCTTACTTCGAACTTACCGCGGTTCAGACGCGGTCCACACGCGGCAGGCAGGCTCCCCGTCGACTCCGCGGTACTCCTCTCGTTGAGCTGGAGTACCGCAGTCGACGGCGAGCACTTCCTGGTTCGATTTATCGCGTCCAGACCAGACGCGATAAATCGAACCCGGAACTTCGATCCCCAGCCGTCGAACTACCGAGTAAGTGTAGACTAGCCCTAAGATATAACTATTAATTGCAGAAGAATATTTATATTAAGAGGCATGGTAGCAGGGGAGAAAAAATGATGGCAAGTGTCGCAAATAAGGTGTTTTCAGACACAGGAGCAAGACTGTGCCAGCAGATAAAGATAATACCAGTGTGCCAAATTTGTTGAGAGAATGGCAACATTTGTAAAGATATAGCAGGAACAAATTTCTGCCTTGTAACTTATTCTGGACCCGTGGAATAGCCCAGGCACAGGGACCTTTTCAGATGTAAAGTTAATAGGAAGCCCTTTCACTACATGTGATTTAACACACCTTTCAGTTAATTCACAGTGCAAATGCCAACTCAGGAACATCAAATGGATTTACAACATTCTCCAGAGGACTTTGGGTCAATGCTAATGAATGGATTACACTCATTATAACTAATATTGTAATTTAATTTAATAAGGAATTCAAGTGTAAAAGCAATTTGCTAATGTATGTTAATATTTATTTTATGGCTTTAGCAGCTGTACTTCTGAGAAAACAATAGAGAAGGGTGTGTGATTTGGCTCTCACTTACAGAACACTTGTGTACCCCCGAATTAACTTCAGTGAAGTAATGGAATTGCATCAGGGAAAAAGTGGTATAAATGAGATCAGAATCAGAGCCAGAAACTAATAATTTAAGCTATGAATACTTCATGATCAGTGGCATGCTTCTCACTCCAATGACAAGCATGCTAGAGTACATGCCATAGAAAACTTTAACCTTCAGGCTGTTTTCCTTTAGAACTCACCCTCTTGGGGACAGGGAGTGTGACGATGGAATTGCATTTTGTGTGTGTGTTTGGTTATCTTGGTCAGAATGACCCATTATTGTGATGCATACTATCCATTAGAACCCTAGCCTTTCAGCTGAAAAAAATCAGTGTGGCTATGAGTGTGCCATACAATTTCTACTATTAAGATAGAAAAAATTGGTGTTGTGGCAGGCAATGCCATGATTTCTAGAAAATAAGACACACTGGTTTTGGAAAATGTGGGGTGGAAGCCTTAGAAGAACAGAAGTGGGTAAGAAAACTGACTATATGGAGATTTATTCAAGGCCAGGGGGAAATAAAGCTGAATAGACAGAGGTCATAGAATTTTGTGAGTGGAAAAAACAAAAACTCCTGCCTGTATTTTCTAGTGTCTCGGACATAAGAGCTCCAGTCCTGAAAGCCTGGCTGTATTATAGCTCTCAAGTGGCCCAAAGAACACTCTCAAGCAGTATAAACTGACTCATACAGTGGACACCATTAAAATCTTTACAGTTTTGCCTAATTAACTTTCCTGTGGTATTGGCGGCATTCCATATATTTAGGGAGCTCATAAATATTTTAATGGTAAGCATTGTATATTAGAAGGATCTCCTGTTCTGGGAACCTTTTCAGATAAGTGCTCCTGCTGCCCCCCACTTTCCTCAGAGGAAACAAGTCTCTTTTTTAATTACCCTACAAGCCTGGCTTGTTTTCATTCATCTGGCCTGATTAGCTAATGAGCACAGAATTTTAGGCTGCTTACACAAAGGCATCGCAGGAACTCCTTACAAGGAAGATTATGAAAGCTAACTTCCCAGATCACTTAACGTCAGGTTTACATGGATGCAACTCCATATACATCAATGGTTCTAATCCTGATTTGCTCCCGTGTCACAGACAGCAGAATCAGGCCTGATCTATGTATAATTTGGTTCCACAATGTTTAGGAGGGTCCTAATAACTGTGTACAAACATTTTAGGTATCTCAGTACCAAGGAAAGAGAGAAACTATTTAGTATTGAACCTACAAGTGCTGACATGATGCACAGCAGGAAGCAAATCGCTATTGCTTTCTAGCACTATCTGTAAATGCAGGCTATAACTATGTACAAGTGTGCAGAGAAGTAAGTTTCAGGTCTCTTGTATGGTTCCTCTTTTACTCTGCAGTAACAGTGCAGGTAAAATAAAGGGTAGGACATAGCAAGACAGAAAATGTGTGTGTCTAATGACATATAGGAGTAAGTGTGAGCCGTAGCATCCTTGAAGACAATGGACTATGCACATGCTGTTAAGTGGTTTACTGGACTGGAGCCAGAGTTCTGAGCTCCTTGCAGGATAGAGCTCCTAGACCAGAGGAACTTGGTGGTCACACTGCATTGTTTTCATTAATGCCTGATAAAATTCACCAATTGTTCCCGGTCATGGTCATTACCTTTCCCTCATGCTTGCACTGTGCAAGATAAACTTTTCTGATGTGGGACAAGGCATTAGAAATAGGAGTAATAGGAGAAACTATGAGATCTGTTTTGACTGAGGAATAGCCTTTGAAGAGAAATGGTGGATATTCCATCACCTGAGACAATTAAAATAATTGGACAATGCACTAGAAAATGCACATTAGAGAAGGAGCCTGCATCAGCAGAGAGGTGGAGAGATGCCCTGCAGCTGGGGTGGTCATTTAGACTTGTGCAGAGTGGGTGCAAAATGCTACCAAACTCAGAATGGCAGCATTTTACACCATTTTGCATAGCTGTCAACAGTGACACAGGGAGTGCAGTAGAGAATTAGGCCAAACATGACCTTGCCATCTCTAACTTGACCACCAACTCTGCTTTCAGAAACAACAAGGCTTGTCATAATCTAGATTGGAATGCAAGAAACCTCAAAGTCATCTGAGATGAAACCTAGCAATTTACATGTCAAACACAAGCAAAGTGAGCATCTGAAGTGCTAATATGATATCAATGAAGACTTGACAGTAAACTTTCATTTAGCTTTCCCTACACGCTCAGATTTCATATATATGACATTTTGAGTAGACCGTGCCAGGGATCTAATTTAGTGGACCAGGTCCTACTCCCATTGAAATTAA